TTCGCGATCCGCACCTTCTTCTCCCCGCCCTCGTCCAGGGCACCGATCTCCTGCAAATACTGCACCGACTCGCTGAACTGGTACTTCGCGCTATCCTGCTGGCCATAGAAAACCTTCAAAGGGATGCGCCCATCCCCGTCCACGTCCAACTCCACGAGCTCATCTTTCCTACTCGACATGTGACATGGCTAGCACGAGACTCCAGCAAAGGTTTTACAGTAGACTAGCCTCATCCAAAACACACCAGTTGCCATCAAGCAAGTCCCAGCTTCATCTGCATGCACTCTGTGTTCTGCCACTTGCCATAGCCGTGCGCCAACTCCGCCACAATTCCGCACATATCCTGCGTATCCAAGGGATGAAAGTCATAGCTAAGGCAGCTATAGGCAACTAAGGCCGGGCAGGAGCTTCGTCTCGAGTCGCAAACATGTAGGACCAATCTTACATCCGCAACCCCAAATTAGTGCGGGGTGCTTGGGCTTTGGGTCTAAAGTTCGGATATGGGAGCTTCGGATTTCAGGATGTTTGTCTTGTCATGCCTTAATGCGTTTTTTCTGTATGGGACTGTCCTGGGCTTGCATCTGAGCGGGGTTGAGGCTCGTGATTTCAGCTACATTCAAGAGTTGACGTCGCAGGTCACTTTACTTCCGGTTCGATATGGCAGTCACACGTTCAAGGGCCCGAAACCCAAGACTGTGTATATCCTTGCCTGAAATTCCGCAATACCCAAATGCCGACGTCAAGCGTGAGTATGTGCAGTCCGAAAATAAAGCTCGAAACTGCAACGCGGCGAGACAACAGCGGTCGAAAACAGGGCCCTCCCCTCACCCCTCACCTCCTTAAGCATGCAGCTGCACTTCGAGAGCTTGGTTTCCAAACCCCGCCAGGTTTCAATCGACGAGTTTCCCTTCCTTGCCGTGATGGCGGTTTCGAGCTTTACCCCTCGGACGCACGCTGCAACTTGTAAATTTGCTGCCCTAAACCCTGAACCCTCTCCCACCCCCGGCAATCCTCAAAGACATACTCCGCTGGAGCGAAGGGATTTGTCCGGTCACGCTTTGCCTGGTGGAAGATAACGCTGTAGAGTGTAGAGTTAGGGTATTTGGCGTATTCAAGGGGTTTAGAGTCTAGGGTTTAGGACAATGTCGGGCAGAAGTTCTAAGACGCAGGCGTTGGGTTCAGCTGATGACAGCCAATATTGCCAGCTATGAAGTCTCTTGTTTAGGGTTTAAGTTTTTGATGCACGAGCCGAACGCAACCACCGGAGCAACTTCGGATAGCAGGATCATCAACAACCGCAAAGCCGCCATGCGAAAATGAAGGGTCAACGGTGAATTCGTTAGAGCGCAAGCAGAGAGAATCACCGTAGCCAATGAACATTGCTTTGACGCGGGTTTGAGGCAAGATCTTGGCCAGCTTGGCCGGTTCCACTTGCAGCCTTCTCACCGTTTTGTTGCAAGAAGGCATGCGGCAATCCTCGTCCAGCAGAGTTGGTTCAAGCCTGATGGAGCCTCCAGTGGACCCGTCCCCCTTGTCTAGACAATACTCTGCAGCCGAAGATGAAGCACAGTGGGCCGCCGTAAATCCCAGAAGAATGTTTGCTTTGATTGTTTCGCTGTCATTACTGCAGACTCGTTGTTGAATAGCCGCATAGCCTGAGGGACAGGGATCCTCATAATGAGAATGGACTGAGGCCCAAACCGCCTCGACCTTTTTCACATTGATTGAAGAGCATTGCGAAAAACAACGGACAAATGACACCAGCTGAGCTAGCTCCGAAGCCACGGTCTTTGCCACCTGTTCGGCTTGTTCCAACTCCTCAGCCGTTGCGGCAGTTGGGTTGTCCATCCCAAGTCCGCCGAACGCTTGCTCGTCACTTTCAAACTAGCGGACACCTGTCGAAGCGGCACACTCTGCACACGGTCAGCAGTCATGCCCAGACCACTAGCAGAGCAAAGGTTCTTGCACCATTGCCCGGCGGTGATGCGGACTCCAGATCCTGACCATGGCTGCCTTCCTCGTCGTCGACCAGTGGAACCTCACACTCAGCGTTAGAAGGGCGGTGGGCGAATCCGAGTTTCCGCATGTTCCGACTGGCGACATGCCCAGCGCATTCGCACATCTCCATCACATGGGATTGGGTGCACGGCCAAAACCAGCACACAAACGCTAGCACCCCGGCCCGAATGTACGCACATGGCCACATGGTCACTAAAATCATGGAGCTGTTTCTGACGCCGACGCCAACCACCATCCTGCGTATGGTGGAGAGGTAGAGTACGGATTCTCAGGCCCAGGGTTCATCACTGGAGTGGAACCCAGGTAGAGGACGCCCCAGAAAGATCTGAACCACAAGTACAAAGTTGTGTACTTTTCGTGCCTCAACCATCGAAGACTTCTTGCCAGAGAACTTCAAATGCACGTCCATATCCACCAGAGAATCGCCATCAAACACCGGCCTAATCATCACGGAACTAATGTAAAACTCGTCGACACCAGAGACACAATGTGCGCACAAGAAAACAGCAAAGAGCTGCAAAAGTAGGCAAGGACAGAATGCCAATGCTGCCTGCAAACGAGAGCAAAACAAGTGATCAAGCGAAATGTCGCTTGCCGGAAAGTTTCTTGGCCCTGCAAGCATGCCACCACAACAAACCATTGTGTCGCTTCCAACCAGTGCGGCCAGGCTAGCGTGTTTTCCAGAACCAAGACCGAACCATTTGAACTCCGCGACTTCGTCCTTTTGCTGTCTGGAGAGAGCTCCAGCGGCAGTGATTCCGAGAGCAGAGGTCGCAGCCGTCAAAAGACCTTCTGGGGTGTTCCAAGCAACAATTATGCCCATTGCAGTGGCAACCAGCAGCAGCCACAGCCAAATTGAGCAGAGCCACATTGCCGCTATCAGACCTCACAGGCGTGCAACCGATAGTCCAAGCTCGCCCGAAACCGCCCGCGACTTGCGAGATGACAGTGAAAAACACCGAAGCCCTAGTTCCTCCTACCACGACTGATGAGCCAAGGGTGCTCCAAAAGGCGGCCATGGCATGAACTGCTGGTTTGCCCAAGTCAACGACAACACCTGTGATGTTTTGAGACGCCCCTGGCGCGGCATCAGTGGGGCGGTTTTTGGCCCATAAAGATGGGACAGATGCAGCGGAGTTTTGCCAACTCTGCAGCCCGTTCAATCTTTCTCGGTCGCCTCATCAGGATGCAAAGTGCCATGGCACACACCCCCAGAACCTTTTCACTGAACTTGCCGCTGAGCGTAAGCTGCCACTGGTTGAGCCCATCGCAAAAGCCAGGCAGCTCTTCTTCGTGAGACGACACTGAATGTTAGGCAGTGTCGTTCAAAAGGTGCCAAGTAGAATTAGAAACCACTGAGCCTTGCAAGCGCCTTCCACTCAATGAGCACAGAAGATCTACAACACATCTGCATAGCCTGGTGCAATCGTGTTCCGTATCGGCATGCAACGGCACTCAGGAGAGGATGTGGACACTACGCGAGAAGTGCAAGATTGCAAAACAAACTCCAACATGAGGTAGGTGTAGGTGTGGGTGTGCGTGTGCGTGTGTGTGTGTGTGTATGTGTGTGTGTGTTGTAGTGGTAGGTGGCAAGCTGGAAGTGTAGGAGGTAGCAGTGAAAGTGGATGAGGTTGAGTGTACAGAGTAATGCCGCTCATCAAGCCCATTTTCAATCTGCAGACGGCCATGGCCGTAATGAAGTAATGCACCCGAGAAAGGTCGTTTAGGCAAAATCACAAGCAATACCGTGGAATCATCGCGAATAATTAATTTGTTAAACACCGTGACAATTGGTGGGCTCGGTGAAAAGAAGCTTTGCACCGAATGGGCCACAGTGATGACATCTAAGAACATCATCGAGGATGTCCTGAGCCTCGTCAGCATCCTCGGCTTCTTCAAAGTCGCCAAGTCTTCCCAGCTATGCGAGTTTGTCCAGTTCCTCCGGCGCGAGCGTGCTTCGCTCAACCCGATAGTTGTCCTGGGAAGAAGAGGAGCGTGCATTTCTTCCGCCGGAAAACATGCTGCGGGTGCTGCCTTGCTCCAAAATGTTGAGCGCGAGCTCATGGTCAGCGCACTCCGCGACAGATCTCTCTCGACACCACCGTAGCTGCAGGTGAAGTTCTCTGCAGGCAAGCGAAGACATGATACACCGACCGCAAAACCTGTCCACGAACCAGAAAAGGAGCTGATGCTCCAGGAGAGGACTGTCGTCCAGTGGCAACTCTGGCATGCATGGCGCTCCTATTAGCTGGCCGTGGCGGACATGAAGCGCCTGATTGGGAAAGCAAGAATGCATCTGCTCCAGCACAGGCTTCGTCCAAGAACCAAGACGGAACTGAAAAGTGACCCTGCGCAGTTGCCGCTGTCGGCACAGACCAGCACAAGTTGCAAAGCTTCAATCTCGAGACAGATGCCAAGAAGCAAAGAAGCCAAACAGAGCAGCAAAAATCAACAGACGTGCTAGTGCTGAGTGTGATTCGGGAGTGTTTGTGGCAGGGATTGATGGATGGGTCTATTGCAGCAGCACCCGGCACATGTGCGTACGCGCGTGCCAGCAAATGCGAATGCTGTGATGAGGCATCGGGATCTGGCTCGTTCCGTCCACTTCGCCCAAGGTGACGCGGTTGAGTGCATGAGCTGAGCAGCCGTGTCACATGGCCACACGCCACAGCCAAGATCGTAACAGGCAAGCAGAACACCCAGATGAACAAGCCAGACCTTTTGCCAGTGGCGAGAAGGCTCTGGCTGGTATCCTTCCAACCTGTGCTGCAAAGCCACTGCTCCGCGGCACAGCACGCAGCATGAGCAGCGGAAAACAAAGCGCAAGAAACGCCCGAAGGAGCCCGGCGCTCGAGCACACAAGCCGGGGTCGTGAAGCCGCCACTGGAATCCGGACTCCCCCCTCCTTGCTGGCCTGAGCCAGGTTCACGGATGCGAGCCCGATAGGGTTTAGGGGTTGCAGGTTTGAGGATTTAGCCGACAAACTTGCTCAGAGGCTTGCTTCGCCCACGATTGAACTGAGATAGTGGACGTGCAGCATTCAGGGCCCCTGACAGCTCTCACAAAAACATCTGGTCTGACAGCTTTCAAAATCAATCGCAAACCCGTCTTTGCAACGCACCTCGTCTGCATTCTACCGTAGTACTTCCCCAGAAACTATACAGCCCTTTGACTAAGGAATCTGCCTTATAAATGGTGGCATAATTCCTGGACGAAAAGGTCTGTCAGGCAGCTTCTATTACTTGGGGTAAGGTCTAATGATCTCATGCTCAACCTGACACCCTGAACCCTCCAGCACAAGAGCCTCAAAGAACGAAAGCGCGGCAGAGACGTGGAGGTTTAGAGTTTGGGGTTTAGGGCTTGAACCCTAAACCCTGAAACCCTAATTGGAGGTAGGGTTTAGGGTGTAGGGCTCCTCTAAAGACCTGACCAAGACACAAGACAGGACTGACTCGACCAAAGGATCACATCACCTTGTATCACCGTCTTATTATATCATACTATATCAGATTATATCATCTTGTATTCTAATGTGTCATATCATATCATACTATATCAGGTTATATCAAAAATATCTCGTATTGTTCTAAGTTATTAGTAGTTTAAGGTCTATAGGGTGTAGCGTGATGCCTTCATGCCCCCTACGATATTCTGCTGAGCAACATAGTTGTAGTTCAGCATCGTGTCCCGCTCGAAGTCTTGGAGGACCTTACAGCTGAGCTTCCAATCTGGGCTTGCTGGGTACCAGAACACGAACGTCCGAATTGTTGCCAAGGATCCACCACAGGAGGCTGGAATATCGCTCTCATCAAACTAACTGCTGTATCCCATGAGACCAAGGCTCAGGAAAGGACGACCAACATAGGGCGAAACCATGATCATGATAGTAACCTCACGCACCCTAAGCCCCGAACCTGAAATCCTAGAACAAGCGTCGGAACGGGTGCATTAGCCTAGATCTAGAATGCTGGTCTAGATCTTCCAAAAGCTTCAAGCTCCCCTTAAAGGCTTTGAAGACCGTCTAGGGCTCCCGGTTCAGGGTTGAGGGTTTAGGCCTCCAGTTACCTAAATAGTAGGTTGATAACCATAAAAAGACTTAAGCCAGTAGCCCATTATTTCCCTAGGGTAGGCCTTAAGCTTCAACACGCCTGATGCTCGTACCCCTTCACCCCCCCTGAACAGCAGAGCCCTACGGTCCTCACACCAGGACCCAGAAAGCACCAGGGTCTAGAGTCTAGAGTTGATGCTTGGCCCTTCAAGTCAAAACAACAGAATCGCGCCTAAGCCCTAAGCACCGAAAGACTACATGGACTTGCAAACGGAATGCTTGCTCGTTGGGGGGGATGCCGAACCCTTCAATCCAACACCACCGACCCCAAACCCTTCAACCCTGAACTCTAAACCATGGAGGAGGAGGGTTGAATGCTGCAGCCCCGTGCAGTTGGAATCTTTGCAAGGCCCGAAGTCCAAAACCCAAAACCCTAAGCCTATGGACAAGACTACAAAAGACCACTTAAAGACTTACAAGCAGCCGAACAAGCCTGCAAGCCCTGAAACCAGAATCGTGACGGACCGCAGCATTAGTCTAATTTATTTTTGCTTTGCTATATCATGTTATATTCTATTCTTCTCTAATCTGTTATACTATCGTTATCATACCATGCCATACCATTCATCTTATGCTATACTGTATCATACTATATCACATTATACTAAACTGCATTGTTATGTATTGCACTGCATTGCATTGAACTACGCTGGACTGCACTGCATTGCACTGCGTCGTACTATACCGCATTGTATTGTAGTTATGGTATGGTATGGTATTGTAATGAAATTGTAGTGTAGCGTAGCATGTTGTATTGAAATACGTTATATTGTATTACACTGCATTATGTTATACTGTACTGCATTGTGTTCTGTCCTGTTTTACAGAAGATTTTCCAAAGACCTGCAAAGGCCAAGGGTCAGAACAACCCACAACCCGAAAATCAAATCAACAGAGCAACCTCCCAGTCAGACCTCTGTGAAAGCTTGGCCTGCAGGGCAAGGACACGGGCCCAGGATTTCGGCTTTCGATGAGCATGGGATGTGGAACTGGAAAGGCTTCGGACTTGAGTTAGGGTTTCCCTCTTTTTGCTGAAGGGCCCCCTGTAAATTTTATCCTAGCTTATCGCACCAATCGGAATTCAAAAGACCTCCAGTCCAGGGGCGGGAGGGACCCAACACTTCGTTAAATAAACGCTAAACTCTGAAACCGAATGAAGGCGTTCTTAAGAAGCCACCCCCATTGTTTTGGTAGGTGGTACGCACCTGCTGCAAGTTTTCTAGACGGGACCTTCCGATTTGGGTTTTATCGTGGTTTAGGGTTTAGGGTTGTGTTAAGCGTTATGGGGTATAGCAGAGTCTATGGTAACAGCTTCTTTTTTGGGTCTGTAGGATGTTCTACTTAATGATTTCGGTTGTGGGGGTGTGGGGTCTATCACCCCAGGAGCCTGATAGACCTCACAAAGTCATAAAACCCTAGCAGTTGGATACTGCCCCCACTCAGTAACGGTTGAGTCATATCCATAATATGGATATATAAGGCCCTTAATTGTAGCCCGATTATAGACTGTTACTGTATGGGGGCAGTACCCAACCTAGAAGTGCAGACCTTTCGAACCTGTTAAGCCTTAAACCCAATAAGCTGGCGAGCCGCAGAACCCGTATGTGCGCAATGAGCACAGCTACAACAGCTAAGATAGGGGCCTGAATATCTAGAACAGTATTACTTGGAGTTCCTTCTTCTTCTTCTTGTAGTAGAATACACCCTCAAGCCCTATTCTATCCATTGAGGCCCTATGTTAAATGGCTAAAGAAGGGTTGAAACCCCGTCGCACTCTTCCTCAAACAAAGCCAGCCCTTTGCCCCGCAAAGCCCCACATCCCAAACTCTCGGAGAGTAAACCCAACATCTTTACACCAAAACGAGCTCCGGAATCCGTAGAGCCTGGAACAAAACCTAATCCCTGGAAGCC